AACTTTGTCTTGATCCGTATAGAGTGTGTACGCTCGCTTACTCGATGCCTCCTTCATGCAAACATCTGGGTCATCTTTTGCATCTTCATCTGCCACCGAGTCTACATCGAAATTATTCTCCTGGACTGATTATACGAATACTGAGTGTGTGAACTAACTGTTTCTAAAGCATATCGCTCTTCGTCAATGATATAGTCCATAGGCTCAGGTCTACCGTATTCATCAACTGCATTACCGTGCCCGTCTTCGTAGAAAATTTGAAAGCTCATATTGTAATACTCGGTTTTTAATGAGAAAGGAAGTAAAAAAAAAAAAAAAAAAAGAAGAGAAAAAAGAAAAAAGAGCTAACGGTGCTTTCGTGCTTAATATACTCATATTTTGGACGATAAAGCTTCTACATATACGACATTCAATTTGTCAGCAAGCGAAATCAGCCAATGGTTTACGTGACAATAGAATTTAACGAACGCGAATTTTACTCTTGGCATCAGTGTTAATAATTTTTGGAAATACTGCATAACCCTGTGTCAGGGGGCCTATGCCCCTAGCTCAGTGGTCAAAAATCTATGATTTGAAGCCAAAGTCTTGCGTTCGAATCCCGCAAAACCGCTCCCAGTAGCTTGCTCTTGAGGGTTTTAATGCCGCTTTCTATGGTTCTCGGTTGTTGGTCGTTGGAAATAAACAAATTATGAATAATTACGGTACCCGCCCAGGTTGAAATAAGCATGAACCCTAACACCACCAAGTCTTAGCCTACCAATTATAATGATTAGTTTATCTCCCTCTACCCACCCCCATTAGATTGTATGCTTTCCCCCTCCACCGCCAGTACCTTCTCACCCCCACCACATTATACACCCCACCTTGTTGAACTTGCCCGGGCAATTTCAGTATAAAAAAAATACTACGTGCCCACTTGGGTTTAATAAAAGATTGTTTAACCGTATAACTGGCCAACGAGAGAAGGAGCGCGGTTTGTGAGTCGGTAGTAGGTTCAAAAGGAAGGACAGTGGATCTATAATAGTGCGTGGTATTAGGAGGTGAGCATGTATGTTTAGACTGTGAACGGTATGGGCCTTCGTAAGCAGTTGGTTAAGATGCCTTGGGTAGGCTTTGGCTTATCATCAAGCAAATCATCCGAGACACCAGCGAGTAAAGCGGTTCCACTCAAGACGAGGCATAGGCAGCCAAAGAATACGATCGAGGCACACTGAAGGATGGCAAGCTGAAGTCGGCGAGAGGTTGCATTCTGGAGGAGAATCTCTATGTGTACATCAAATAAATTCTGTAATAGGGCAAGAAGTGGCGGTTCAACAATAGGTTGCAAGGCTTCCCAGATCTTGCGACGGTCAAATGTATTGTAAGCTGACTTTATATCCAGAAAGACAAGGATAGGTGTGGTACGATGGTACCGGCGTAGTATGCTACGGATCCCAGCGAGACAAAGAGCTTGATCAAGGAAGCTTCGGGCTTCGCGGGAACTTTCTTGCGCCAAATCTAGAGGTAGGATATGTGACGAGACTAACGGATAGAGACAGCGTTCCAGGAGCTTACGGTGTAAGGAAAAAGCTCAAATATCTTTTGTTACACCAATTACCGAAAATGGAAACACACCAAACGAACTTCAACTCATGATATGAACTTCGATTCATCAAATGAAACTCAAACCGCCACATCAGAAACAGTATAAATAACCTCTGGTTATTCCCCTTGTTCACCTTACTTTTTTATTTACTTTTTACTTTTTCTATTTATTTTATTTTTACTTACATTACTTTATTTTATCAATAAACCTTATTCTGTGCTCAAAGTAAACCTCTGATACTATTATCTCAAGTAAATACAAGTCCCTTGAAGCAATTAAAACTTCATTGTATCTCTACAAGTTTATCACAAGAAATTATTATCTTGCAATCTTATCTGATCTTACAAGAAGATCTGGTGGCCACATAACGACATATTATCGACATATTCAACAACATATACAATTGACAACCCTTTAAATTAACTAAATCAACCCAAACTATAAACCAACCTATATATTAAACCAAAATTTACAACGGAATACATATGTCAAGCTAATAGGCCTGTAATTTCCTGGATCAGACGATGAGCCTTTCTTGTGGCTTGGTACTACTTGGACGACGCTCCAATCGAGAGGCGTATAAGAGTACCACCAACAAAGTTTGAGTAGGTAAAGAAGAAGAGGAACGAGTTGCTTTTGTAACGGCTCAAGCATTTCTTGGCGTATATGGTCAATTCCAGGAGCTTTCTTTGAGGAAACATGCTTAAGAGCGTTTTGAACCATGTCTATAGTAAGTGGACAGGAAGCATCTTCGAAATAGGTTGCCAAGAAATCGCAAGAAGAGGATGATGGCGGATTTTGCAGTAAATAACCAGAATAAACGGACTGCAGGTGAGATGCCATAATATTTGTTGAATGCTGTGGACCTTCTATAATTGAAAATCTGGCAGAAGTTGCACCAAGTTTCTTTGCGTCTTTTAATGATCAGCCGTCGTATGGTAGCTTTAGCCTCTTGGTGAAGTGGCCGGTATCGAGGACAATTAAATCCTCGAGACTTGCGCCATTGCGGTAGTAGTATTCCCGGAACTGAATGGTATTGAGCATTTCGGGAGTCCAAAAGTCGCAATTTCTGGTTGTAGAGGGTGGAGGTCGACGACCGCAAGTCATGTCCAGGGGGTGGTAGATAAATCGGCATATGTTGCTTTGAGACTCTTCTATATGCTCCACAGCAAAGTTTCTATTCAGAAAAGAAGGCGATTGAAGGCGTTGCAAGCCTTGCGTACATTCGTTAAAGATATTGACATACTTGTCGACGGTATCTGGGCCTTTAAGTCTACCTAAATTCCATAAGAGTCGGGGAGGGGGAAGTTCAAGTTCTTGTGTGCTGTGCATTTGAAACGAGAGTGTCATAAACTTATGGTTGGAGTCCATTGACAAGTTGCCTCTAATGGTTAATTGTGGAGTAGTAAGTTCATTATTACTTAGAAAATAGTCGATAATGCTGCTTCCATTGTAAGTGATATAGGTAGGTACACCACATGCCAGGTGTTGATTTCATAGTGTCACATTGTTCGTATGGATCCATTCATGTAAGATAAAGCCATGATGGTTGGAGTATAGTTCACCAGTAAAGGATCCTATCTGAGCATTGAAATCGCTGCAGATAATTGTTGTATTCGCATTAGGGATGGATTGGGGAAGAAGACACAAAATTTCTTGTACATTGTGATGATCTAAAAGAGGGGGGAGGTATAGGCAGTGTATAAGGATTTTAGATATAGTGAAGGAAAGAGTATACTTAGCTAACAAAAGATGGTCATGGATTATATGATGTGTAGGAAAAGGGTAAGAAGGGTTGACCAATAGGGTGATACCAAGGCTTCCTCGGGTATGGGACGAATTAATTGGCTGACTATAGGTGTGAAATCGTTTCCAGGGCGTCGAGTAGCGATTGGGGGTAACAATCAAGTTTCGGTGATTAGAAGGAGAGTGGAAGATTCGGCTAACTTCAATAGAGGAGAGATTGCCTGTTTGGGGAGACCAGTAGCATTGAATAAGGAAATGGAGATATTAGCCATTATAGGAAGAGTTCGTTATGGCTGTCGTAGAACAATGTTTACTTATGACTGACATTGAGATAAACGACTGTAATCAGTATGAATAGTGTGAATTCATATATTATAAGATTACGTGTACACACTTTTAGTGATAAGTCTAATTAAATAGAAGCTCTCCTTTGAATATAAATCATTATTTCTTTATATAAATGGATACACTTCTTTAAACGATAATCCTTCTTATGGTAAAAGCAGCATCATAGCCCAGATCATGAAATGAACAATAAGATCAGTGTCAGGAATGAATTAAAATTTTTCTTTATGAGCTCAGGAACCGTTAGTCAATCACAGCCTTAGTAAATATAATCTACGCTTAGAATAATGGCTTACTAGCCATTTGATAGCAAATATAAATAGTAGACCATTAAATTATTTGTATGTTCCTTCTGTCTTTATCTCAAAATAAAGTTTAGTCTCAAAGAGTACTTCTTTGTCTTAAGTCTTATAAACCATTACATAACAATGACTACGCTTGTCAGGGCCCTGTACTTCTTACATATCGAGATCTTCGTCATGCTGTGTCAGGAAAAGGTCTTCCGGTTTGTTAGCGTGAGATGACATGATTTCTTCATTGATTTGCGAACAAGTCCTTAACTGTAGAAGAAACGGGTCACTGTATACTTCACAGGGGCGAATATGATGAATAGCACGCTCAATTCGGTCGGTAAGGTGAATTAGAGCTTGTTCATCTTGTTGCTCTTTGGTATATTCTTTGTAACGAGGATCTTGTAGGATATTGCCATTACAGGGGCCAAAGTCCCCTTTGATTTGGAATTTGAACCTCTGTAACTGGGACTTGAGCTCTGGCACGTAGTCATTTTGAACCAGGAGGACTACGACGCTTCGTGTTGGGTAATTGATGTCTAAGCGTCTGCTATTATTTATTTCAAGTTTGCGAAGACGATTAAGCAATTGGCCAATCGGGACTCGAGCCTTGGTAGGGATGTAAACGTATTGAAAGCCTTGATTGGAGGAAGGGGGCTGTAACAGCCGAGAAGCTGTTTCTTGACGTTGAAGGCGATGCTGTTGTTGATGTTGGACCTGTAATGCTTGCTTTATACGTTGAAGACGCACAGGATTTCTCCAAGGAGTAGATAGCGAAGCAGCAGAGGAGGGATTGGGGGATTGGGAGACATCGAGTGAGGAGCCAGAATGGACAACTCGAGAGGGGACTGACGATCGGAGCTGGCTGATTTCTTCTTGGGCTTTCTAAAGTTCATCTCTCGTTTGCGAGAGTTCGGCGGTGAATCGGCTGATGGTTGCAAGTAGGTCGGCAAGGGAAAGTGTATCATCGTCTTGCGAGAGGGATTGTTCGAAATTGGGTGCAGGCTGTTTGGAAATCTTTATGTCATCACGGGCAGAAAGAGAGTTGGTGTCAGAGCTTGTAGAAGCATTGGCAATAATATCTGCCATGGTATGAGCACTGTTAAATCAAGAGTACGCTTAAACAAATTTTTATTTATAAATAACTAAAACCTCTAATGGGCGCACGATTGTAATATTACATCTTTCCCGCCTGAGGCAGTTTATAAAGGAAGAATGGTGGTGACTAAAAAACCCTTTTGAGACCAAGGGTAAAAATGTTTTGGAAGGAGTGAATGAGATCAAGTGTAGGATACACTAGTGATAAGGAGAAGAAGGGAGTCATGCTAAGAGTCTTTGCCCGAGGCGAGTGGACGGAGTAGGCGGAAGCTTAGTGTAAGATAGGTAATCAAGTTCATATAGGATTCTACATATATTTGGCCATCGAATGGTCCACGAGAGTGTTGTGTTAGGAGGCCGAGGTTTCTTTGTAGGTAGCATATTTAAAATGAAGAACAGTGGATCGGAAATAGTTTGGGGAATCATGAGTCTACGATGCATCTGGAAACAGTGAATGGTATGGGCTTTTGTGAAGGGTTGGCCGGGATGCCGAGGGCAGGTTTTGTATCGACCACCAAGGAGCCAACCAAGACGCCAACGTATACAGCGGCTTCTCTCAGACTTGGACACAGGTAGCCATAGGACAGGGTCAAGAGAGATAGTTGGGCGACAATGCATAAAGAAAATGAAGGCATGCGTAGAACGTTTATTACTGAGGTTATCTTGACGGTATTCTCATTGTATCGATCGTAAAGAGCGACGATCCAGGGACTCTGGGGTGGGGGACATCTCTTTCAAATGGGAAATCTAGAGAGCTTGTATCATTGGGTGCGGCTTTGAGGCTGACGGATAAGTGGAAGAAGATGGTGTAACAGAGCATCTTCTGAAATAGTAAGAGGGCGTAGGAGGAACTGAGATTGCAGAGTATAAGCACGTTCCTGCATGTTTGGTAGCTTCGACATATGTAGCATTACCATGGTGGAAGATGTGTAAGAAATACCGAAAACCCGACGCAAACAGACGTTCTGGGCATCTTCCAATTGTTTGCTAAGGAATGTGATGATCTTGGTAATGGCCAAGCCGTATTCCAGTTGAGCACGAACAATGTGGCTGTAAAAGCGGGTACCAAGGAGAGGAGAAAAGCCTTTAGGGGGTACACCAATAGCTGAAAGCTGGTTCATAATGGCAGGGGCTTTGGTCTTGTTTTGATTGACCAATACAACAGCATCAAGATAGCCACCAGGGCGAAAGGGAATTCCGACATAAGGAAAGGAAGGTTGCTTTGGAATTGGTTCGTCATAGAGGGATAAATCAAGGGTACACCTTTTTCAGAAAGTATTCGTACATTCGAGAGAAAAAAAAATTTTATGTCGTGCCGAACACCGTCATATTTGAAGAGATATACTATACAAGACAGTTACACTGAAGTCTATATTTAACACTTTAACTTGATAAATATTAAAATACAGACAACAAGAGCTTACTCTTGAAGTGTCATGCAACCTAGTGAAGGTACACCGTTTACAGGCTGTTTTCTATAATTGTGTCATGATAAGTAACTGATGTTAACCTTCGTTGAACCAATATGCGACAGCATATTTGATAAACATCAATAAAGAAGCACGCCCAGTGTAATACTAGACAGTAAAGCGTGATATAATATTTAATGATATCAAGCCTTGTGTAAGAGTAGCTAAGTCAGATAAGATCTGGAACGATTGATATCATTTAAAGTGTTTTTACGAGTTATCGCCTAGCTAAATGCTATATATGGAGTAATGGATATAAAGTGGGTGCAGTGCACGTACGTGTTGAGTGTAAGGTTCTGCAAGCAGGTAATAATAGATGCTTTGGTCATTATTCCCTTACGTGAGATAAATGTAGGTTCAGGAATCTTATAAATAAAAGGCTGGATCTATACATTATCGAACATCAACTGTTCTTTTCATCAACTTCAATAACAGCACACGAATAGTTTCTCTGTCAGCTTATTAGTTCTCACTTAAACTGCGCTTTGGTACAACTGGAGAAATACTCACATACAGAAAGGTGCAGGAGAAGTAATAACTTTCGCGCAACCAATTGGATTAAGCTAATGGGTCCTTGAATTAGTTCTAACGAGTAGGTAAAAGAATCTATAAAGGGGAAACTTGTTCAATTATGGAAATATCTGTCAGGATAGTTTAATAAGTACTAACATCTCACGTCATACTCACTCTAGATTATCATTTGGTGTAAATACAGTAGATCTTTTAGCAGTAGTAAAATTTTGGTCTAATTTTATTAGAAATTGTTTGGGATAATGAAAATACATAGGGTAGAATATAAAAAGACAGAAGTACCGTTAGAACTGTGTATATCCTTTTATAGAAAAAGATATATAAAAAATATGATGATCTTTTATCGATATGAAAAATCGTCCTCTATTTATACTTTTTCTTCAACAGGTAAACCTGGTTATCCTGGAACAGTTAATAGTCCTTTTTCATAGATAATGCTAACGATCAATTCGCTGGATCAGATATAAAAATTTTCCAAACGGAGATAGCAATAGCAGTTAGGATCCAACGCTGACTGATTTGAACCTGAGCAGCGCAACTGGATCTGAATCAAACCAACCTGAACCAACCTTTCTGAAAATCGGTGGCATGCTAAATTACAGTCAATCAGAGACTTGTATGAACCAACTTGGACCAACCTGGACCAACCTTTTTCTCTTAAATGTTAATAACACGAAAGCACGCTATATGTATTTTTTTTAATGAAGAATTTACAAAAGAAAACTCTGAAAGACTCAAAGAAGACCTTGAAAAAATTTGTGGGTTGGAGATTTGCTATGCCGATGATCCTAATAAGCCCATGCTCCAAACTAAGCTAAAAGTAAATGGTTTTCCATCCTACTACCATCGATACAAAGATGACCTCCCAAAATCAACCAGTCTTCAAGAACAAATTATTTTAAGCAAGTGATAAAGAAGAGTGTTTTGTCATATATTAATTTAATGACTTTACTAGATAACCAGAAACAACTTATTCAATACCTGAATAAAGTATGCTGATCTAGCCAGCCAGTGGATAGTGACATGTACGAACAAAAGCAAATGTCAATGAAGCAGATTTACTCAGAAACTGTTGTAATTACTGATCTATTTGACGAGAACACATTGAAATCATTTTCTACATGATGTGGCACAGCCAAGTTAGACCTAACGCTTGCTGACCAAACCCGCAAAATTCAAAAAAACGATGTTTCCAAAACCAAGATAAGATACCGCTCCCTTTGGGTTCTAAAAAGCACACATCGAGGTATATTATGCTAGTCAATAAAACTGATACTTTTATACCTTTGATTTTTATGGTTTTTTTTTTATTTTTTTTTTTTTTACTGTAGAATCAGTAGCTCAGCAAATTCTAAATGTTAGGGCAATACATCAAGCCAGATTACGCGGTCTCATAAGCGAGGGGTGTAAAATTATTGGATATGTAAGGAAATCACCTGGAAAGGAGTCAACTACGACAAGACTTCGTCTTTTGGATAGTATGGTAGACAAGTTGATGAAAGCTTCTTCCGTGGACATGGTGTTTGGTTCATACAGTTCTACTTCAGATGAACTTTTTGTAAAACGTGATATCACTACAAGTACCGTCATCCCAAGAACTACAGGATGTAGTATCCACGCTACTATTCAGTGCTTAAATACAATATCTAGAGTTGAACCTAATGCTGCTATAAGATCTGTTACACCTTAATCAAATATAGCCAACTTAGTTTAAATACCTCAGCTTCTTAATATATAATTATAGATTGTGCTATCATCTCTTTTCTTTTCACTTTATTCTGAATAAAGATACAACATAGTCTCATCGTATTTTCTACTTTGTTTAAACCTATCCAAATCCAAATACAACACAGGAAACACCCAAGGTAATACAGCGAAGTATTACGAAGACTCCTCTTAAATTAAAACAATTTGCTTTAGACCTTTTGCAATATTTAGCGACCACTACTTATCCAATTGCAATTGTGGCAATCGACTTCGCTGGTTTCACAACAAACAAACCTGACTTGGTCCACTTTCTTCGGTAATGCAGCAATATGTTAAAATTTTCATGTCCTCTAATGCAATTGTTATAGTGTTCATAAGACTGTAAAAAATATAGTGATCGACAATATCGAATCTAACAATGAAGCTTATTACTTAACCAGGGAGCAGATTCTTTCAGACGACACTATACTTCAGCTTTTCGACTGTCGCTCTGCTCCAGTACGGCGATCTCTTATGTCATGACTTGTAATTTTACGTGTTTTAGTTATTTGGTTACTTATATAAAGATCATATTTATAAAAAAAAATTAAAAATAACAGAGAATACAACCCAATTTTACAAGATAATTAACGATTTCATAGAAGATGTGCTATATTCATACTTTCTGATCTATTAATTGACATTAATTATGTAGACATAAAAAGCTTATCATGTCAAGATCTTTAGCTGATATAGCAAACATAACTATTTTAGAGTTCACTTTAATACAATTCGCAGAATAACCATCTCAAATTATTGTTTCGCTCAATGCTGACGACTTAAACTTCTAGTTACTGACTCACTATTAATCAACGACTTCAAAATCAAAAAGACTTGATGAGCTTCATGACAGACGTCCTTATAATAGTAATATTTAATTTATTATTGTTAGATATTACATCAATTACAGCTAGAGAAGCTAATACAAAAATCGAAGCTGCATGGGTTTACGCCCAGTTTTGGTTCGTTGAATGGAGTTTTTTTCCAAAAATAACAGACTGTTAAAGAGAAATTGTATATTTGTGCCATTTATCACGATGAGTACTTGTGATATTCTGATGGGTTGGTTTGTATCCTTGCTAGCGACATCAACATTGGTAAGTTTGAATAATTTGTATAGCAAATCTCTAAAACTTTCATAGCTTCAAGTTTTTTAGACAAAATTTTTGCATTTTCTTCGCTATATTCCTGGCAAAAAAAAAATGCAGAGGGCCCTTTCCCTTGTTATATTGCCTTTACAAATGTTTGCATCCATGACAAATTATAAGAACTTAAGAGAAATTAAATTTGAATGTCGTTCCTAATTCAACCTTAGTTGCTTCCATTTCGACTTCTGATGTGGTACTAAGCTCTCTGAGCCGCACTTTTTTATTCGTAGTTTTAAATTAATCACTCTGAATTTAATACAACTAGAAACAGAGACTTTTGTGCTTTTTATAGACAGCTTTTTATTTCTATTAGTAAATTGTCTTTGATAATTATAGGATAACACATACTTAAAGATTGATAAATTAATGAATATTTTTTTTTTACCAGTTAACAGCAGTAAAACTGATGGAGAGAAAAGGGATGGAAAAGCTCATATTCTCATTAAGTAGTCTTTTGCTACTGTCATTTGAAAGCACCAAAATTTACTCATACTACGTTTTTCTAATTTTTTGCATTTCCAAACCAACTCTAATATAGCACACTTAACACACTTATATTAGAACAATGGAAAACAATACTTCTAGAACAACTATGTGCTCCTCCTGTGTTGCGACATTACCAGCAGATTCACGCTATCGCACCTGCCAAGCGTGTAGAGAAAGAGTTGCAGCATCACGCCGCAGACGTCGAGCTGAGCAAGAAGAGTAGGAAGGCAGACCAGTGAGACATAGGGGAAGACCTAGAGTAGAACCTTCTCAGACTATTCCTACTGCCTATATCTCGCAGCTTTCTCGCCTTCGTCCTTTGGACCTTGGACGTATGGACAAGGAATGCTCACACTGTCACGCCTTACACTGGATTGATGAAAGGCAAGAGACATCTTCGATGAGAAATCCTAGCTGGGAATCATGTTGCAAGCAGGGATCAGTCCAGTTGCAACTCTTGCCTGATCTACCTGAATACTTGAAGGACTTGCTCGAACGTACGGACACTCAAGGTCGTCACTTTAAGGACAAACCTCGCCAGTACAACGCTGCCTTTGCCTTTACTTCGTTGGGCTGCGATATTGTTTCGCCTGAGGATCGTGCCAGCAACAACAGCAACAACAATAATAATAGAGGTGGATTAAACGCCTTCCAGATCCATGGCGCACTTTGCCACCGTCAAGGCCCCTTGACTCCAGTTGAAGGCAATGAGCCTTCCTACGCCCAGCTATATATATTTGATCCTTCCTATGCCGCTGAAAGAAGACAAGCACGAAACAGCAACCTTGATACTGAGATCATTAGAGAGCTTTCGGTTATGCTTGCTCAATGTAACCCCTTTGCGCGTATATATCGCCATGCACACGAGATATTGAGCAACCATGAGAGCAGCAACACTGTCAGTGATGGTAATGATCAAAGAGAAGTTAGTGCGCCATACATCAGTATCAGCCCATCAATGAGAATGCGCTTAATTGAAGGAAGCGACAGACGCACACACAACTTTCCAACAATGGAAGGGATTGCTGCTGTTATACCAATCGAATATAGTGACAGAAGTTTCCGTGATATTGTTCTTACCTTGAGAAGCAATAGCAGTCTTCGTCAAAACACTGGATTTGAGCAGCACTTTCAGCGTATCAGCCAGGCGCATGCCGCATACATGCCAACACACTATGTGCTTTTATTTCCTCATGGAACGTATGGATGGCATTGGGGCTTGCAACTTTCATTGCCAACTGTCAACATTAGTATTCCTTCTACTACTACTACTACTACTACCGTCGAAGATCATCTTCTTCCTATATGAGAAAGGGACAGATTACCTCAACGCGCATATTACAGATTTAGATTGCATTTGAGAGGAGAACACGAATTTTCTGCCATCTTTTATGCTAAAAAACTTTTCCTACAATTTCTGGTGGATGCGTGGGTCATCTGTGACCAGAACAAGCTTGACTGGATTCGTCAGAACCAGGATAGGCTCCGTACTGACGTGTACAGTGGTATAGCTGATGCTATTGTTGAAGGCGATCAAATCAATGCGGCTGACCTGGGCCGTCGATTCATTCTCCCAAGTAGCTTCCATGGCGGCCCTCGGTTCATGGCCCAATTGTATTATGATTCTATGACCATTGTTCGTCATTTTGGGAAGCCATCTTTGTTTATCACCTTTACGGCCAATCCCAAGTGGGCAGAAATCACCAATGAGCTCCTCCCTGGTCAAGCTGCCTTTGGCAGACCCGACTTGATAGCGAGAGTGTTCAACATGAAAGTTCGTCACTTTTTAAACGACTTGAAAAAGAAAAATATCTTTGATCGATATAAAGGATTAGTTCGTACCATTGAGTACCAAAAACGAGGTTTGCCTCACATGCACTTCTTATTGTTCTTAGATCCTGAAGATAATTTTCACGATGCTGACAAAGTTGATGAGATTATCTGCGCAGAAATCCCTGATAAGACGAACGATCCAGAGCTGTTTGAAATTGTAACCTCCTGCATGCTACATGGCCCATGTGATGAAATTAATCCTGGCAGTCCATGTATGGTACAGGGTGCACAAAGGCTAATGGTTTGCTCAAAGCGGTTTCCAAAACCATTTCAGGATGAGACCACCTTCCCTGAGAATGGCTATCCTCTTTATCGTCGTAAGCGAATTACAGCAGAGGACCAAAACAATTTCTTTTACTCTGTCAGACCACGCGGAAGAGTAGGTGCTGACTTTGTTATGGATAACCGCTGGGTTGTTCCATACAATCCATACCTTACAAAGAAATACAAAGCACATATAAATATTGAAGTCTGTACTGGTGTCGAAGCAGTCAAGTATATAAACAAATATGTCTATAAAGGATCAGACAGAACCACGTTGGAGATCGAGGATACGGAGGATGAAATCAAAAAGTACCTTCACTCCAGGTATATTGGGCCCTCTGAAGCTGTGTGGAACCTCTTTCAATTCAAGACGCATGAGGAAGATCCCACAGTAATTAACCTGCAGGGGCATTTACCGGATCAGCAAGCTGTCTATTTCCCTTCTGAGGCATCAGCAGCAGAGATTTCAAGAATTCTCGAAAGAAATATGACAACTCTGATGGCCTTCTTTGACTATAATGCAAGAAACGAGGATGGTAGACAATATCTCTACCAGGAGTTCCCTCAGCATTTTGTCTGACGAAAAAAGAAAGAAATGGCACCCTCACCAGCGAGGCTTTGCCATTGGCAGAATGTACCACTGCAGTCCTATCGCCGGAGAGAGGTATTACCTTCGTCTTCCCTTCACCAGCGTACGTGGTCCCAAGTCTTTTGAGGATATTAGGACAGTCAATGGGGTTATATATGCGACATTTAGAGAAGCTTGCGTCGCTCTCCATTTGATCGAAGACGACAGAGAATGGGATCGATGCTTTGCTGAAGCACGATTGTTTGCTACCGGAGGTGATTTGCGTAGACTTTTTGTCACTGCATTGTTACAAGGTCAATTAAGCAACCCTTCAGCACTCTGGAACAGTTACCGTGGTGATATGTGTGATGACCTATCGCATAGGCTTTTAAGCCTACTAGGTGATGATTTCGCAGTACACCTTCTGAATCAAGCATTCCAGCATGAGAGTCCAGCTGCAGATTACGGCCTGTATCTATTGCAGAGAAAGCTCGAAGAGAACGGGAAAAGCCTCCAGATGTTCAACCTGCCTGAACCTCTCTGTGATTGGCAATCCTTGCTCGAGAGCAGTGATGGCAACCAAATCGAAGCCAACCCTCTCATAAGAAGAGGACTGATATTTGACTCTGAACAAGTTCTGATCGAGTTCAACAGAATGCATAGCCAGCTCAACCAGCAACAGAAGCACGCCTTTGATACTATCACCAGCAAGATTGAGTCTGATCCTAGAAACAGCCAATTCTTCTGCAAGGCCCTACCGGTACAGGCAAAACATTCGCTTACAACACTCTCTGTAACTATTACAAGAGTAAAAATAAAATCGTCCTTTGCATTGCCTCCTCTGGGATCGCCGCGCTTCTCCTTCCGGATGGCCAAATATCACATTCATTGTTCAAGATCCCGTTGTCCATAGATGAAGGCTCCGCTTGCAGCATCCGAAAGGACAGCAACCTGGCGGAAATGATCAGACGAGCCAAGCTAATCATTTGGGATGAGGCGCCAATGCAGCACAAGTATTGCTTTGAAGCTGTTCATCGCGCCTTTCAAGACATCTGCGATGATCCTGATGAGCTCTATTTGTTTGGAGGAAAGCCTGTTGTCCTTGCTGGTGATTTTGCCCAAATTCCGCCAGTGGCCCGAAGGGGTTGTAGTATCCACGCTACTATTCAGTGCTTAAATACAATATCTAGAGTTGAACCTAATGCTGCTATAAGATCTGTTACACCTTAATCAAATATAGC